AGTAGAACAAGCAGGAGTTCCTCGGCAAGGCCTCTACACGTCCGTCGCAGGACATAGGAACTAGAAAACGGGGAACGTGCCTCTGGCCCTCGGATGTCAGCGCTAACAAACTGTTCGGGGTGGCTCCCGCAGGACATGGATGCCAGGTGCTCCCCCCATCTGTCACCTCCCTGGAGCCTGTGGGCCTCCTGGGCCGGGGTCGGGTAGTTCCTGCCCCAGGTGTTCCCGTGGTGCCTGTGCGACCCACCTGCCACTTGCTCCCCGTGACGTCACACCAGGGGTGCCATGACAGCTGTCCTGGCTGGCAATTCAGTGGGATTTGGGCCGCATGGTTTTTTAATTCTGTCCTTTTTCCTGCGCCGATTCACTCATGATTCTTTAAAAAACAAGAACATTCACATGTCAGCTAATTGGTTATCCTCAAAAACAGTAAACGGTTGAGTCTCGGCACTGATCAATTTTCAAGGAATCAGTGCCCTAGAGCCCGCCAAGGTCGGGCGGGGGGTTCTTCTCTCCTGCTTTTCCATTCTGTTACTGGGAAGCCGCAGTCGTGTAGAAACAGGGTGTGCCTGACCCAGTCTGTGTGTTCTTACTTCTGATGCACGCATCCCGTCAGCGGGCACTGCCCTGCCATTGTCACTCTGGACAGGATCCGCCCCCAGCCCAGCCTGAGGCACAGCGAGCCGTCTGTGGTTCCGGGAGCCCCGCTTCCTTCTGGCAGGAAGTGGTTTTCCAGGTCCTACTCTGGGATCTCACAGGAGATCGTTAGCTTCTCACTTTCCAGAAGAGTAAGAACAAATTCTGAGTTCATACTGATGTTTCCAACTCACTTGCTGGATGACTTTGCTCCTTTCATTTTGACCTGTGTCTGTTTCCCCAAAGCTGGATATCCCACGGACCGTCAACACCATTCACTCTCCCGTGCATCTGTGTAGTCGGTTCAGAGCATCATTGCCCCGGGGAGCACCCACAGGACCGCTGCATGCGGCCTGAGATGTCTCCGTTTGTTTTGTTTTTGGATGACGTCCCATTAGACACAGGCTCCCGCCTCTTGGAACAGCTGTGTGTGCGGTCACGCTCCCGATGTGCTCACACTGAGCTTTATTTCATTCTGGTTTTGGTTTTCAGGCATCGCTGCTTTCAGGTTTCTTTCTTTACGTATGTATAGCATTTGTGTGGCTTGGTCTCTCAGTGCAGACCCCAGGATGAGATGTGCAGGGAGGGCCACCCGCCTGCGAGGTCAGGTGTCCTGCTGCGTGCCCTCGGACGCTCCTCTCGGCACCAGCTCCCGGGAGCGAGTGCGCACCAGTGACCGTCTGCTGCTGGGCGCTGCCCTCAGTGGGCATGGTGCCTCCTCGGGCCCATCTGGGGCTGCAGAGGAGGGCGCTGGGCTGGCGCGGCCGCCCCGCTGCAGGACATGTGTCTGTGCATTGATGGCCTCAACACTACCACTCCCGTGTGGTCCCTCCCGGCGGGCGCAGGCTCTGGGAGAGCAGGACCCTCCTCTGACCCAGCGGCTGGCACAGAAGGGCCAAAGGGAACCGTAGGGATGGTTTAGGGTGCATGGAGGTTGAAGCAAGTGGTTATTTCTGCTGCTTCTCAGCAACAGCCACCCCTTAGATTTTGGATCCCTGCCCCCCGAGGCCCCCACAGCTGCCTGCTAGGCAGGGCTGGCGGGTCAGAGCCTGTCCTCAACGTTGCAGACCACCCCTGGCAAGCTAAGCATGAGACCTTCCTACCTGGATCCCCCCGCAGCCCCTCTGGTGTCACCGGCCATTCCCGTCCCTCCTCGGCCTGGAAGCTGCAGGTTAAGGGTCTCGGGGCTCTCCAGCTTCCCCCCTCCATTTCTCCTGGTGTTCTGCCTCCTTCTTTAAGGCTTGGGCTCTGGCTCCAGCTTCCAATAACCACCAGGAAGATTTTAAATCAAAACACACCAAAGTCAGCAAAAGATACCTTTCTGTCTCTCAAGTTGGCTGACAAAAGCCAGGACGTTTGAGATTGGAATAACAAGACCAAGTGTCAGTTTCTCACTCCCCCAGTCTGTTCCCGGCTGTGTCCCTGCCCTGGCCCCGCGGTGGGCCGGCGGGCGGGCACTGAGGCTTTGAGTTGGAGGACAGTCTCCAAGGAAGGACACATCTGCTGCTGACAGGCTGTAATTACAAGGCTGCGGCCCCTGGACGCCACCTGCTCAGTGGCTTTGCTGCAGGCCCCCACTTGGAGACCAGCCATGTGGGGCCATAATGGTCATACTCGAGGTTCCCTGTGGGCACCTGTCCCCCTGCACTTGGCTCACACACCTGCTCATCCAGAGACGGGCCTGTCGGGACACTCGGAGAAGGGCAGGAGGCGGCTGGGAGCACCTTGCAGCTGAGCCAAGGGCACAGGGACACCCCACGGAGGTGCTGATGGGCACACGTCATCCTTGAGGTGCCCAGAACCGGGGATTGGTGACTCTCCCGACATCGTCTGCAAGAATAGTGCCATATGCGGTAGGGCCGTGCCCTCTGTGGGCATCTTGGAGCTGAGAGGACGTCCTGACAGTGGGAGGCTTCCATAGGAGGAGGGGGTGAGGCCTGGCAGGTGCCCCTGGTGTCATCCCTGGGCCTGAGGACAGCAGCCTGGATGTGGGGACAGGGGAGGTTGGGAGAAGGACTCCCTCTCCCTGGCCTGCATGGAGTGTCCTGGCCGGGTCTGACTGTTGGGCACAGTGGGTGCCCTCCCACAGGACAGTGACAATGGGGACAGTGGGGTGGACACTCTGGAAGTGCCAGGAGAGAGCCCAGTGCTGCCTGCTGGCCTGGAGGCTTGCATGAGCATGGTGGGCTGACTCCCGGGGGCCCGGCCCTTGGCTCTGCAGGGTGGACATCGGCACCCGGCTGTCCGGCTCTAGGCTCCCAGATGCCATCCTGGGATAGGTCACCCCCAGTGTGGCCATCCCCTGAGACACGGGGAGAACCCCCTTCCGCAGACGGGGAGGCCTGTGTCCTAACGTTAAGCGGCTGCCCGTGGTCTCTCGGGGGCTGACCTCCCAGCAGCCAGCTCGTGGCCCACGGCTGGAGTCCGGGGCATCTGCGTGCTGAGGGAGGTCCAGGGCTGGGTGGGCGCCCATCCTCTGATGTGGGGCGGTGGCTGGGCCGCCTCTCAGGAGAGAGTGTCGTGCACGAGTGTGCGTCTGTGTGGGTGTGTGGGCAGCGGGAGCCGGGGATTCTCATGTTAATGTGGAGGTTGGGGGGGGGTGGTCCCGCGGGAGTGAGCACTTCGGGGAGACGTCCCAGAGCAGGATGAAATAGAAGCCGTAGGATGGTTCTCAGGGTGGGGGCAGAGCTCTAGGCTGTCACAGGACGTGGGGGGTCTGTGAGGTGCTCCCCCCAGGCCGCGCTGGCGAGGCGGGGCCCTCAGACGCCCACAGGCCTGGGCGCACGTGACAGATGCAAAGCGAAAACAACGCTATACTTCTCACTGCTCGTTTTTGTTCCGGAAAATGTTGTAAATTTTCATAATGTTTGCTACTTACGTTAACACAAGGCGGATTTGTGGGGCTCCTGGGTGGCTCAGTCCGTTGAGTGTGTGACTCTTCATTTCGGCTCAGGTCATGATCTCTTGGTTCGTGAGTGTGAGTCCCGCGGACGGTGCAGAGCCTGTTTTGGATTCTCTCTCTCCCTCTCTCTGCCCACCCCCCCCACACTCGTGCTCTGTCTCTCTCTCTCTCTCTCAAAATAAGTAAATAAACATTAAGAAAAAAAAAAAA